AGTAGACGCTTTAATTGTGCCCCAGTTTTCCTGCTCAAATTTGCACCATATAATAGGGGTTGTTGGGAGTTGGGGGGTTAAAGAATTGAACGGTAATATTTGTTTATTTATATCAAATGGCAGGCTTTATGATAGTTATCATTTGCCCTTTAGTTGTCTTCAGACTTCACAAAGGGAGAGGAACATCAAATCGAAAAAAGTCGAGATTGGAGGGGGAACAGAAGAGTCTTATAAAGCTGTAAAAGAGACAGACACAAAGGTAGATAAAAGGTGAGGTGAGTACTGTGGAAGTATTCGAATATGACATACAGTGGAGTCATGATACAATTGCCACCTTAATATCGAGTCCAGGCGAGAGAAGTGGGTAGTCATCGGAAATACAAATGAATGGTGAAATTGGTAAGATTATTCTAACTTTTCTTTACCTCAGGCTGCACTCGAGGCATTGAAGTAGCGCACATTGCATGCAAAATCAAAGATGAAGCAGACGAATTTTCAAAAAGTCAGTCACTAATCCATATGTCATTCATATCAACACTTTAAATTCCTTATTCAAGCTGGAATCGCCCAAATATAAAAAGGCTTCCTTTAGACCTCAATAACCCGTTGAATCAAGGCAACCAATATGCCTTTATATCTTGAGAAAAACGGTTAAATTTACTACTTTTATAGTTTTGGAGTGGCTTAGTGAAGAGCCATCTCCAATTATGACCCGATTATAAGATTTTGATAAAGGGGAGATCATGCTTAATGAACATTTAATGACAAGGTGTTTTAACTTTTGTTCTAGCCATTAAGTGAGTTGGGGAGAAACCTTTCGCATACCTAAGATGATGTGATTAATGTCACCTAGCTCGAAAAGGAAGAAAGAAAGTTACACACTTGTTCAAAATACCTTGACATTAAATTATCATTAAGAATGATCTCCCCATTATCAAAATTCTAAAATCGAATCATATTGTTAAGATGGCTGTTTAATAAGCTGTCCCATGAAGAAAATTTCTTAAGACTTTAAAAAGCCTACACTTTGCCATGATTCAACGAGTCACTGAGGTCAAATGGAAACCTTATTTTATTTGGGGACTCTAGCTTGAATAAGAGCTTTTTCAAAAAAACCATGAATATGAGTAAAATGAGGAGAATCTTACATTTGGTCACACAATTTTGACCACGATTTGAGCTGTCATCATTATTGGAGGTGTGCATCTGGTCAATGATTTTAAGAAATATGCCAACGAATTCCATGTTATACTCGCTACAGCCAGTCGTCTAGATGAAATATCTCCTCCGATAAATTAGTAGTTAAAATGAAAAGATATCCCAAGGACACGAACCCAATATTATTATGACTCTGCTAAAAGGAGTAGTCGATGGCAAAAGGTTCGTTGAGAGGGAGAAGTCGGTTGATTAAGTGTGAACTCCCAAGCAATGAACCACGAGAAATGGTCTGGGAAGTTAAGTGCAGATTTTCAATTGAACGTATTTCGGAATCGAGGTTTCAAAACATCATGTCGAGTGGGGATAAGTGGCATCAAGTGCATGAGAACAGGAAAGAATGAGAGCACAGATTCAATGGAAGGCAACTGATATTCTATGGTGGGGTGTGCGATAGACTTACCTCCGCGTGGTGCAACCTGGGCAACGTATACTCATACGGCGAAAAAGTCTATAAATGCAGTTGACTTCTGACTTCAAATTGCCATGGCACCACTGTATGTCATATTCGACTACTTCCACACTACTCACCTCACCTTTTTTTCTACCTTTTCTACTTTCGTCTTTGAAATACTCTTCTGTCCCCCCCTCTCGACTTTTTTTCACTTTGATNACAGGAAAGAATGAGAGCACAGATTCAATGGAAGGCAACTGATATTCTATGGTGGGGTGTGCGATAGACTTACCTCCGCGTGGTGCAACCTGGGCAACGTATACTCATACGGCGAAAAAGTCTATAAACCTGCAGTTGACTTCTGACTTCAAATTGCCATGGCACCACTGTATGTCATATTCGACTACTTCCACACTACTCACCTCACCTTTTTTTCTACCTTTTCTACTTTCGTCTTTGAAACACCCTTCTGTTCCCCCCCCCCTCTCGATTTTTTCCACTTTGTTGGTCCTTCCCCTCTGTGAAGCCTGAAGTCCACTAAAGGGTTAATGATAACTATCATATAGCCTGCCATTTGATATAAATAAATAAATATTCTATGGCCACATGATAGGTTCCTTTGAGCCATTGCGAGTGGAATAATGCAAGCTTCCTTTACCATCAGCTGCACCACGTTCATCATTCTAGCGAGTTGCAGCTGACGTGATATATTTAGCAAACGAGTCCTGCAGGAGAACCATAGGTAAAGGTATTCGGAGAAGCCGACCGTCTTATTAATTTTTAACTATATCAAAGGTACTTTAAAGAAATGGGTAAATTAGCGGTGCGCAAACAACAGATATGATGATGTTATCACGAGATCGTGTGCATTTGGATATCATCACTCTGCATTTTGTCGCACAGGGAAAGAGTACAGGCAAACCGCGCAAACTATCGCGGAGAAAGTTTCCTCTACTCCAGAATAACGAGTTGACTAATGGTTTTGAGTTAAAATATCAATGTCCAATGATGAGTAGACAACAATGGGTGCGGTAAGTCGTGCAAAACAAAGAGATTTCGAAGGAAACAAAATTGTCTTAGGGGAGCCTGAAGATAGCTGTAGAATAAAGTGTTGGAATTAATGTAAACCTGAGACTGATCTCACTTCCTCACCGTTCTTTGCAATATATAATTTATCAATCCCATACCTTGTTTGAGTTGTTACTTAAAACGATGTATGGCTCCCATTAGACGTGGCTCTCCAAGAGGTAATTCATTTACCATAATAAAATGAGCTAGTTACTAAGGAAGGATTGCTCTTCTAACAATATCTTTCCAGTTCTCCTGCTAACAGCTCGATGCCAGTGTTACAATGACGTAGTAATTCATGTTGGTTTTTATCCAGCCAAATGGTCCAATAGAATGAGAAGAACGTGGGACTGCCACTACCGAATGGTTTACAGATGTATTAATTTTCACATTGCCAATAAATAAATTAAAATCAATTTGATAATTCTCGTGAGGATAGAACGCAAATAAGTAAAAGGTTTTTCCAATTTCCACATAATAGACTTCAAAACTAGCCTGCTGCCTACTTTTACGCTGTGGGTTGACACAATACAAGAAGGCTTTAACGAAACGACGATATGGAACAGAAATTTGGATTTAGATTCTTGCTAGACAGTTCTCTTCTCTGTCCGTCACAATAAGTGCTGATCTGAATTTCCGCCTTTTGATGTTTGAATCCGCAAACTAGGAAAACCGATAGATTTGAACATTTCAATTTCTCCACCGTTGTTTATTGGGTTTCGAAGTAAAATAGATTCCTCTATCGCACGGGGAACTAACTGACCACTTTTGTCTTTCATTATGAATTGCACAACTATCCTTCTTTCATCATAACGATGAATCTTTTTCGATTTCTTTTCACCAGTCATTTCTATTTCCGATGACTACCCACTCCTCTCGCCTGAACTTGATATTAAGGTGGCAATTGTGATAACAAAAACATTATAGTTAAAAGAGAAGTGGAAAAATTCAATTATTAGAATAAATATTACCGTTCAATTCTTTAACCCCCCAACTCCCAACAACCCCTATTATATGGTGCAAATTTGAGCAGGAAAACTGGAGCACAATTAAAGCGTCTACTTAAATGTAATAAGTGAGAAGAAATATTCTAGAAAAATAGAAACAATTGAAAGACACAATTCTCCACTACCATCTAAAACTCATTTTAGAAACAATAACAATGCTTTAAAGTCCTGCTAAGCTAATAAGCCTCAGGACATATGGACACTCCGCTGATGGGCATCTCTGAACCTTACCGTGAGGGTAAGTACGTTAATTGCTCAAGCAGACGACATGGAGGCAACTAGAATTCTTGTTAATTACCTTCAATAGTTTATTCAGTAAATGATTAGATTAGCGAAAGGGAAGACTTATCCGCACTTGGATTTTCATAGTTTTGCTCTTTTTAGTAGGCCCCAAGTAACAAACATGAGATTAACTACCATTGGCAACAAACTTTCGGGATAATTTGCTCAAAATTATATCGCAAGTTGGTAATTATAAGGGAGGCAGGCATATGCTTCTGGTTTCATTATTACGCATCTCACTAACGATCACTAATTTACAAATTTACACTAACGACAGCACCTGTAATCATCTTTTCATAGGTAGAGCACATTTAGCTGCTTGAACCAGGAATTTTTATACACTGTGAGCGGAATAACCGACCACTTAGAGTCTTAATTCGAGAGTAACTGGCAAAGAATAAAACTCCTCAAATTTCATGCAATTTTTATATATATATTTCTTTCCTCATAGAGCTTTTTAAATTAATACATACAACTAACTCAAACGCAGTCCCACAAGCCGATATCAAATGGGGGGGGAGGTGGGACGGAGAACAGGAGAGTGATATAATAGCAAGCAAATTTATAGGACGAAGGATAATGTTGAATGAGTGGAGGAAGGTAGTGCGAATGAATTCATGAGGTTGCAACGCTGGTCTTAGTAGTTGCAACATAACTTGTGAGCCACCAAATTATGAGGGGTTGAAATAGGGCGCTGCAAACCAAGAAATAGACTCCCCGACGTGGGTTTATTGATGTCTGGTAGCCTGCTTGAGCAAGAACTTGCAATCTCAACGATCGAATCTGATAAAATAAGAAAGTCAAATTTAGTAATTAGACAATACCGAAGACTAAAGTTGAAACAAATCTGCTAGTAAGCCGAATCGAATGCATTCGGGGAAACCGAGGAAAGAAAAGCATAAACACCTTCCCACCGACAAAGAAGACTACCGATTAACAGACTTCTTCGCACAAACGTGGATATAAATTAACTACTGCGGTGATTATTGCATGGTGCTACTTTGATTTTATCCTTGTTAGAATAGGATTACACCATGCAATCTCGCGTTTTTAATTTGGAAAAACACAGCACATTATACAGAGACATCTTTTGTTGTTATAGCAATAAATTCTGACCTGTGTCCCAATAAAGTGAACAAAAGGCTGTGCATTAGAACTGACTGCTTAATTAAATCTTATACAGATCATCTCATATTAGATCTCGTTTTTCAAATTGAATTAGTGCCTAATGACTGTCTGGTAGGTACATCTGATAGAATACGGTAAATGGGTGTGTAGGTATGGCCGTATTGAGAAAGAGGTAGTTGGTATTCCAGTCTGTTTGCTCTTAGCAGTAGCAAGATACAAAGTAATAAAAGAGATATGACGAACGGAAGTAAATCAACCCATAAACAAGCTCTAGCTACAGGAAAGAGAATCTCACCCATAGGACCTGGGCATCAGGACATTACACTACTTGAGAGAAAGTGCATAACTTAACAATTCCCGCCGTCCTTCTCCCTCCCTCAATACCCTACTTGATTCTTTTGAAATTCCCACTGTTCATACACTTTCACATGTGGAAAAATCATGAAACTTTATAAAACCACTATGTGTAAAACTAATAACCACGTCTAATATCAAACAACTCTATTTCAATCTATTGTGGCTACACCTATGGGCATATTAGTATAGATATGTTTTCAGGAGGATATTAGACATCATAATAGCGGTGTCGACTAATTGCAGTCTTGATCAATTGAATTGAAAACTGTTATAGTAGGGAGGGGGGGGGGGGGAGGCAAACTATCTTGNAACTATCTTGACGCTGATACCACACAAAGGGGGGGGGTGATATCGATTGTCTATACTAAAAAAACAAAATGACCTAAAAGTCAGCGTGATATCAATGCGCGTATAAAGTGCAGTCTAGGGAGAGGTGATTGTAAAGAAATGCTTCAAACGAGAGTGTACACATTACCTGGAAAAAGGCAAATGCAAGGCCCGTCCAAACGAGAGCAAAGTAGTAGCCAGGTGCGTGCAGAACAAGTGCAACTAAAACCACGGCGATCATGCTAAAATGAGAATTGAAAAGAGAATTTAACAAAGCTGAGGAAAATTTTGCCAGTTTAATCAAAGAAAAGTTAGTGAATGCCCAGTTATGTACAATATTACATTACTGCTGCCAATCCCACTGAGTTCTCCAATACCACCGCGACGACCACAAAGTACCTATTTTGCAGTTCAGAATTTGTTACATTAAGTGCATAAAGTACAAAGCAATTGCAACATTTGCGAAGCGAATTTGAATGGATAAAAGGTTTATTCCATCAGAATGATTTAATCAATACCACCAGGCACATTCTTCCTACTAATATTTAATTATATTTTTGTATTTTAGACATTACCCTTCATGATTGAGCACAAAAACAAAATGGAGTCATGATCTAGAGAATGTGAAAATACGCCCCATTATGTAGTATTTATTATTGCTCATGATTGCCATTAAACATTAGAAGACCAAGAAAATGGATTCTAAAGTAGATAAACAAAATATAAAAGTAATTTCAAGCTTGAGCGTTCGATGTAGGCAAGTGATATGAAGCCGCCAAAGAAAGGTGTTTGCACCTAGTCTCCAATTCGCATATCTCTCTAGTCCAATTGAGGATGCGCATTACTCCTGACAGCTTGACAGTTATTTGGAGCAAAAAACTATATCAATCTGATAGTGACTTGACCTCCAGGACTTAAAAACATTAGGACATGTAGTATCCTTTAAAAAGTACATGGGGTTAACTACATTCTATTTTGCTATTCCCGAGTCAACTGCAATCTGACGATACCTACTGGGTCAATATAACAGAGCAGCAGAGCCAGATCAAGAAGTATTGCAGAAAGAATTCCTGTTTTACAAGAGAAATCCCAAATCATTTTGACTGCCTTTGGAATTCATCCAAATTGCTGTTAATATCAGATTTCGTTCAATTTCTTAAGCAATATCACACCTCCAAGACAGCTGACTAAATTAGAGAAGCAAATATTGAGATCTAAAAGAATATTAGAAACCAAAAGAGATGCCAGAAGCAATCTCTTTAGTTAGAGGGGTGAGTAGGAAGATAATATAATCTGCAAAATCTGATTGACCCTTTGAAGAAAGTTGTAGGTCAAGAGTAGTAGTTGTTCAAATTCAAGATGAACAGCTCCATAACTTAATGCGTAAATCTAATAAGAAAACTTAGCTTTCATAACTATAAGACATACCAAGTCTTAAGAAATAATCAGAAAATAACTAGTTCATCAGAGGTCCAAAGTTTTATGCCAATTTTTGCATAGTTAATAGAAAAAAAACAGCAACCCCATTGGACAATGAAAATAAATGGTAGAATTCGAATTCCACAACACTCACGATGGGTTTAAGAATTAGGAATTATGCAGATAATTAGATAGCCAGAGGCTACAGTGATTGACATCAAATTAACGATGCCACTTACTGTACAAGTTTATAACCGCTATAGGCAAGTAGGTCGAAGTAACTGAGACTAGATTGTAAATTGAGGAGGTAGAGTGCGAGGGAGAGGGCACAAACTTCAAAAAAAATCCATCCAAAAACTTGACTACAGAGAATACCCAGCAAGTCAGGCGCGAATCGACCCTCCACGCCAAGGGAGATACCAGCGGCGACAATGTACGTGACGAAAGCCATTACGGGGATGTAAAGATCTGGTGAATTGATATCAGAACGAGGAGGGACTACGCCAGTTGAATCATATTGTAGTTCCCACCTCTAAAAAAATTTTTAAAAAAAGCATAAGACCATTAGAGATTACCCTCGTTTATCATGCATTAACAGTCACAAGATAACATAATGCATATAAGGAAAGCTTTGAAAGAGTTACAAAGAAAGACCGCTCTGAATTAACAAAGAGTGAAAGGAGTAAAAGTAAAAAGTGAAATGACAAACAATACAATTAAATGTAATAACAGATAGGCGAATATAGTTTCATCATAATAAGAGAGTACGAAAGCAAATAATAAATGAGCATGAACATTTTCAAGGACCTATATCCAGAGTCAAGATAAATTTTATCCAGAGAGAAGAGAATATTGGTTAAACGGCATGATCGAGAATTAAACACACCGAAAGCCCATTTAAAGGCTATTTAAAATATGTAAAAGTTAAGGGTAGATAAAAATATGGCTGTGAAACGGTAACCGACCACAAGGATGACATCAATTTTTACATATTCAGTGATGAGTGACCAACCACAGTAGTTAAAACGTATTAGCAAGGAAGCATCATTCTCGCCTAACATTAAAGTGACCCCACGACGCCATGCCTCACTAGAACTCGCGTTTTAATATTGTTTATATGAGTTGAGGAAACTTACTACTATGGAACACTAAGCAGGAGGAACGGTTTGAAGTAATAGACTTCGGCGTACAAGAATAGAGAACTTAATTAGTGTTTTTTTACATTTAAAAGGGGTATTGAAGAACAAATCTGAAGGTTATAACTGGAATTTGTCCAAATATATTTCAAAAAAAGAACAGGCAAAGCGTACAAAAGTGTCATCAGTCCAAAAAGTTGAAACAGAGCATAATGAGAGAAAAAGAGACATATAAATATAGACCAGACTAGAAATTATCTGTACCTACCGTGTGAAAAAAGGGACAAAGAAGAATTCCAAGTTTTCCTGCGACATATCCATTATCCACAACAAAGTAATGCTTTAGTTTGGACAGAGAAAAGTACCGTTCGACCTTGGTTATATATGATAAACATTAGAAAGACTACAAATCAAACCTTATCTTGAACAATTTGTTTCCCCTGTCCCAATGCCTCTGTACCGTAGTGCATCGCAACATTTTGAGTAAATGAATTCCCAAATACATGGCCAACGTTGGGATTAAATGGGTTTGAATGTTGGGGAGCTGGAGGTTGGTAGCTACCTGGATTATAGTACTGATTTGGAAATGTATTTGACTGTTGATCATTAGGGATGTAAAACTGTGTCGAGTTTGGATTCATCTGTTGAAAACTCCAAGGTAAATCAAAATGATCAATGCTAGAAGATAAAAGTCAACAAAAGTCCACAACCACTCGGAACAACGTAAGCAGTGTAAACTGATTGGTCTCGTTGAAACTGGGTCGCATACATCAGCATCAGTATCCTGTAAAATTGCCTAATGAAAAAAATTGTTCTAAATTTAGTTGAAGATTTTATCGAATTTCAGAGCCTGTACTATGGTAAGTTTTTCATTTTTGAAGAATATTGAAATTGTTAAATAAATTCAGGCCATAACGGTTAACATTTTAACATAAAAACAACTCTTCTTCTTACGTTGCAGTCAAATCATAAGTTACTTTTCATTAGCATAATATTTTAATTTTTTATTCAGAGTCTCTGTCTGATCTTTGGTGTGCAATATCTAAACATTTATTAATACTACCAAAAGTAAAATTGGCATGGTATTTAAGTTGTATTATGTTGCAAACAGTATTCCCGAGGTAAAGCTTGTCGGGAAAATATTGTTAAAATACTTTCATTACCAAAAATAAATGGCAGAGTGTTGTAGACCAGAAAAATCGCATATTGCAGAACTCATTTAGCGAAAAAAAGGTTAAGCATACTGCGAAATATAACTAAAGTTACTACGTTTTTGAACAGTTTGAAATTTGATTTAAATTGGTCGTATTTTCACTATTAAAAAATATCAAAGCACAAGATTATCCAAATTCGATATCAATGTAATATCTAAATTAACATCTTTGCGAAGCACTACTTTGTTGGACAATAATTCATTCGTCTCATCATTCAGACTTACTTCGTTATTTGATTGTAGAGAATATAAATACCTAATTATGTTTCAGAATTATGGTCAATGGCACCCCATTACCCCAACCTCCTCCACGCTATTACCATGGCAGACCAACCAAATTATTCTTAATTGCATCAAAAAGTTGGCCTTCTCTGACCTGGAAAACAAACTGGTCTGGCTTGCATTTGTGCATAATGGCTCCCTTTACTTTGACATTTTTGTATCATTTTCTTGTATATGAGGCGTGTTTGAGAAACGTGAATTGTTGCCTTTTGGTCAACCCTAAAACCCGAATCCTCTATCAGGCGAAAAAATTATTTTGATCCAAATCGGTTTAAATTTTGAGCTAAAGATCTTTTTATGTTCTTGGTTTTTTCTGTCACTTTCTTCGGACCTCCTTAGGCTTGGGTTTATTCACTTCTCCCACTTATAAAATTACCCTGATCACTTTTTAACGACTTGATGTTTATTGAAAAATAGCACGATTCTTCGCAACTCACCTTGTTACACTTTCGACATAAGTGTGCTTTGATTGGTAAGTGTTATTAAAAATTGTAACCACTGGAGAACCGTCAGGGTGGTTATTTTCTATGTAAGGTGTGTGTATGTGTGTGTGTGTGTGTGTAAATCTGGCTTCACCTATCCTGAAATATAAACTAACCCTACAAGTATAATCTTCATTTCCTCTACCGAGTAATAGTTGTTAATGAAAAAATACGCTGTACAAATTCATAAGATGTCATAAGTTAGGAGTCTTTTAGAAGCAAGATTATTTCTATTATTATTGGACCAACATTTCTAATACGCCCTCGAATGAATTACCCAGAATACAAATAAATTGAGTATGTCTACTCTTCAAAAGATTTTCCTTGGGTTATTTAGAGTATTCATTTTCGACAGTCTCAGCGTTAATTAAAAATTAAATCTGAACCGAAAAAATAAGTGCCAAAGCTTGTAGCAGATTGTAACACTAACAAGCTTTGATTTACATTCATTAATATCAAAGGCACTTTCTCCTAGTTTGAAACCGTCCCCAAGATTTACTATCGCAGAACTATTGAGGTAACAGACGTTTTTGTCGGAATATGTTTATTCGGGTGATAGTATATATTGGATTTGGCTGTAGATGTGTGTGCCGCTGTCGCTTATTGAAGGGAGCTGAGTCATTCTAAGTACTTTCAGGTAATGATAACCACGTTATGACCTTAGGCACTGTTTGGTCGAGGGAGCTATGCATTCGTGACCTCATAGCATGATTGTAACAACGTAAGTAATGCTTTATAATATTTGAATGCGTATACGCTTCTACGCTTTAGACATTCTGACAATGTTTTTCTCTCAAGTTGCCCTGATTTAGCAATTGCATTTGTTGTTGAGAACAATTTGGAACTTTCAGACCACCAGTAAATTTATGTTTACCCATTCACACATGAAAGTGCAAACGGCTATTTTCCTTCTGAATTTTGGCATTGGTAAATGTTTAGTAGATGCTCAAATTTAAAGAAAAGCATTATGATTGCCCTCGGATTATCCATATTGTTTATTTTTTAGAAAGTATTTGTGTCTTTAAACAGCAGAAGGTAAGCTTCAAATTTCGAAATTTAGCTTTTTTTATTCTCTGGTGTGATAAGGATGATTTAAGATGAAAATCGAAACGTGGCTAAGGTGGCCGCCAGTATATTATCAAACCAGTGGCAATGAAAGCCCGTTTCTTGTTGCATGCTATCTTCTTTTGTAATTTATGGCTCGTATGTCATGGTCATATCTTTGTCTAATCACCCTAATCAACAATTGTCAAATATATACATATACCTCCAGCCAACCCGTTATGTACCTTAAATTTAAGAAAACTTTTCCTCCTACGCGCGTCCATTTCAATGTGAATTCAAATTTAAATTTTTTCAAGCGCACAGACGGCAGAATTGTTTTTTTTATAAAGTAGACAGTACATGAATTTTGTATTAAATGTTTTGAAAAATATAATATCATAAATATGAGGATTTCCGAAGTTAACAATCATGGTGAGCCCTAACGCCGTTATTCGGTAACTTGATGATTAATCTAATGTGATTGTCTTCTTATTCTCTGTTTACTTCAACTCGGAATTTTTCAAAAATCAACGTTTATACAACTAAGAAATCCAGTGGGTCCGTCGATAGAAGTAAAAGTAACATTTCGCTATTAAATTTTAGTGATATTGCGAGTGATTTTTAAAGAAACCAAGCTCATTATTTGGAGCTACAGTGAAATGAAGAGAAACTACCGGAAGAATGTTAGCTCGACTTCAATGTTAAACAGGCCTTTCAAATAAGCAATTAAAGGATCATGTGGCATTTTTAATAAATTCATTTTGTTTATGAAATAATATTAATGTTATTATCTTTTACTGAGTAAGCGCTGGTATACATATAATAACTGATAATTTCACAAGGCCTCAACCGCCTACATTAAATATTCTTGGTACATATTGAGGGGCTTTTACTTAGTGAATGTATTTAGTTTTTTCTTTCACAATTGTTTCTTACAAGAACTAAAGATATTTATTTATCTGTTTAACAAAATATTTCTGAGAATGTAATGACCAATGGACATTTAGAATAAATTGGTTTTCAATTAATTTCGTGTCTAGTATTTCGGTATTTACAAAAAACAGTAACTAAAATCTTATGTTAGAAACTATTCAAACGTCTTCACCTCGAATTTTCTTGAAATAATTATGTTTTTCTTACCATTTTATATTCTTTCGGTTATTCTTTTTAGAGTAAAGCGACTATTGCTTTGTTTTTCCTGAATCGACAGATCAATTTAAATTTGATTTTTAAAGCATGTACTGACCTATATTTATTGATTTTAGTTCACCACAATGACTGAAGGTAGTTAAACATCCAACTATCCTATTTCACTACTTTTCGAGGGTACCTGAAGGTGTTTACATTTTCCTAGTTCACGAATCAATGAAGGCTCTCGAATTTCTTATTGGTCGATGGCATGGTACGGGAAAAGGTTTCCTTTCAAATGGGTCTTCTTTTCAGTACACGGAGGATCTCATCATTGAAAATATTGGTCAACCAAACTTTGCCTACTCGTAAGTTAACACGCCAGTAATTTGATATAGACGATACTTTTTTTCTGAAACCACGAATGATTCTTTAATCCGATTTATGTTATTTCGCAGAGCTTCGTCATGCATTGATGGAAAGACGAGACACAGGGAGTCTGGCTTTATTAAATGCCATGAAGATAACAAAGTTGTCTTTTGCATTGCTGAAAACCTAGGTAAGTAATTGACTTGAGTTAAATTTTTTAACAGGAAGCGCGAATTTTCATTTTACTTATTTCTTAGATTACAGCTCGTTGTTATATTTCATTTATTATCTATGTAACTTTTTCAAATACCAGGATCTTGTTCGATATTACTGGGTGCTTTACAAACCAACGCAAATGAAAAGAAGCTTCATCTCACCTCCGACAGCGTGTCTCGCTCGCCTTTTAACAAAGAGCCTTATGTAATAAAGGTAAGATTCCTTAAAAAATCCATTCTTTTTCTTTCATCTTTATGATTAAACTCCACTGTTTCACGCGCACTCTCCTCTTCTTTTGCTTTATTTCCCTATTTTTACCATTTCCTACTCCCAACACACTGAGCTATGCTCTGTATTTCTTAACCGGTTTTCTGTTTAGCGCTTTCTCCATTTTTTTTCGCTTAATACCTATCTTCAGTACCTAATGGTGCTTCTCGTAGAAGCTTGGACATTGGATTAGCTAGTCTTTGGTGACTGCTGCGTTGTGATCTTCATTCAGTCCTCTAGTATCTCCCTTTTTGGGGGGAAATGGGAAATGGAGTCTATTTGTCTTTAGAAAGATGTTATTATTATCAGAATCTGGACTTTATTCATGCTTTGAGGTGCAGTCTTCAGATACCTTGTCTATTTCATGATATCGTTTAAGTTGACTTCAAATGGGATCATTAAAGCGATTTTTGACTTCTTGCCTTACGCATTTGTATCTTTCATTTGATTATTATTGCCGTATTTGTACTAATTTTAACATTATTATTAAATACACTGCCTTGCCTATGAGCTTATAGGATTCGCTATGATGAGTGCTTATTTGGTAATTGTTGTTGCTTCATGTAAGCAAGTATGCAAGTTAGTTGAATTGATCAATTCGAAGATGGCAAAACTCCAGGATTTAAATGTTGGTAATTTTGATTTTTTTTATTCAGATTGATTTAGGTTTTGATCTATTTAATAACGTCTGCTTCTTGCTAGTTTATTTTTTCTTTATATACTTAATTCACAATTGACTGAAAGCAGCTTTCGGTAAAACCCTTTCCAGTTATAGGGGAGGGGGGGGGGGGTTATAGATCGAATTCTCTTTTATTCTTCCTTCTGAAACAATTACAATTTAGAGGGAGAGAGAGGGAGTGCTTCATTTAAGATGCATTGACATGTCTTTTTGTGCTTAACCACATTTAAAGCCTTATCCTTTCACTAGCAGTTATCCTGGTTATGTACTGTCACAACTATCGTTTGTTGAATGTGCGTCATCTACTTGTTGTAGCATTTCTGGGTTCTGTGCAGATCTACCTGTATGACTTATGAGCATCCTTTTCCACTTACCATTTATCATCGTTTTCAATTGATGACACCTTCATATTCAATCGATTTGCAAACCAACCTACTTGAATTATTCTCTGCTTGCTTACTTCTCCTTTTAGTCCGTTCGGGAGTATCTCTTTGATGGGGAGAAGCTTCATCTCATTGTTCGACTGTCAACTACCAAAAACACCGAGCTGACTGATCATTTGAAGATTACTTATGAACGAAAATCAGAGTAAACAAACAGTAAAGGGAGGGTACTTACAAGATTGTGAATATGAGTAAGAGCAATTTGAACGCTTTCTGAAATTTGTTTTTATAAATAAAGCTAAACGACTCCTTGTTTCTCTTTTACCTACCTGACGATTTTGGAATCTTCTAATTTGCTAGAGATTAATTAATTTGTCTATGTGTAGTGAAAGATGTAGTACCAAAAACTGGTTGTTTTTTTGAGCTGATCGCACGCTTCTTTTACAGGAAGCTCCCTTTTTGGTTTTATGGAACGACGCATCAAATAAAGAGGTTTCATCGGATCGCATGAGGTAATGGGGTGGAAAATATGTATAGTTATTTATCTACTTGGTACAATTGCATAGAATTTCGCTTCTGTTTCTGATAATTGGTGATGGGTATGTTATAGGGTTCGCAATTCTTAGATTTGTTCGCATGAACTCTACTAAAGATTGCTTTGTAAACATATAATGAAATATGAGAGGGAGATGCCTTACCGTTGTGTGAAATTAGAAAAAAGGAAGGGCTTTCGGCCCTTTTTGGCAAACATATAAGCTTCCTTATGACTCGAACAGTCTACGAAACCTTAGAGCAATCGATTTGACTGGAGTTTTGAAGGATTTTCAGTTGGGAAATTAGCTCCAGCGGGAATACTCATGCTCAGCTATTTCACTAGTCAGCCCTCATTTAATCATTGGTAGACAAGTATGATGCTGAATGAGTTTCGAAGGGTTTGTATAGCCTCAAGGCCCATTTTTAGAACTGGAATGAACTTGGTCCGTATAACTAAAGAATGTACGAATCTAAAAGGCATTTACATAACGTTCTGCCGTTGAAAAATGTTATATAGCTTTTGAAAACCAAGATCATTCTTGAGAAATATTAAATTTAGAGCATTTTATTCTTACAATGTTGGGATCGATTCAAATAAGTGTTGTAGTGCTATTGGAAGGTAAATGTCACCAAAATTATGTTTTATTAGGGGGTTATTTACTTTTCAATAAATACCTTTTTCTCAAATACAACTAATTTTACCCTCAATCGTAGTAATAACGCACAAGTCAAATTCAGGAAAGTGCTATTCGGTAATCATATTGCGTAGAGAATCGGCATGAAGAACCCTGTCTGTTTAGAAACTCTAGTTCTTCAACCTGTTTATTATCGGTTTTTAACCAGAGCGATTGAACAATTCACTAGGTCATCTTTGGGCATTGGAACCGTAGCCCCTAGTTCCAAATTCGAGCAAGTAAACTACTGCTTCACTGTTAAAAAGTTGCCTAAGGTGGTTAATGAATGGTTCCATTCATTTAAAACTAATTTTTCATCTTGGTATTTGCTTCTATAATTCTCATGCGTCTCAGCTTTGTAAATCTCAATACGATTCCCCTTCTCTGTTTTCTTCCAAATTCGCTATTCGGTGAATATTGTTAAAACTGCAGATAATTTTGTTCTCCAAGACCTTCTTCTCTTGCACAATATTCATGATCATTTATTTATTTATATCAAATGGCAGGCTTTATGATATTTATCATTAGCCCTTTAGTTGAATTCAGGCTTCACAGAGGGGAAGGAACATCAAATTGAAAAAAGTCGAGAGGGGGGGGGGGGACAGAAGAGTGTTTCAAAGATGTAAGAGACAAACACAAAGGTAGAACAAAGGTGAGGTGAGTACTGTGAAGGGGTCGAATATGACATACAATGGGGTGATGGTAGTTCGAAGTGAGAAGTCAACTGCCAGTTAATAGACTTTTTTGCCGTATGATATACGTTGCCCAGGGTGCACCACGTGGAGGTAAGTCTATCGCACACCCCTATATTCATGATCATAGATGTAGAGTAAAATATTCATATTAGTACCTATTTACAAAAATGCAATTGGGCTGAAGGTCAGTGAAATGGTACCAGGAGAAAAAGACAAGTACATTTAAAATTTGAGAAGAATTATACTAAATCGGATTTCTGCAACAATATGCTACTCAGTGTTTCATGGCTTTAAAGTGTTAATTCATTTAAGAATGCAATTCTTTGTCTTGGTATATTAACAGAAATGGAACCTAATTCCGTGTGTGCCGGTGCCCCAGTTACCTGATAGGCTCGAAGGTGCGACGCTCTAGTGAATGGTATTGCGAAGTTGTGCGCGTATTTCGACCCAACCTCGTTAGTCAACATTAAGTCAGCCTTAACGATTGGCATTTCTTATTCTTGCATTTGTAAAAATATTCCATCAATTATATATGGGGAAATTGGCCTTGACATCTCGGACGCAACTTTATTTTATTAAGTGAAAGTTTATTTATTATTCGTTTTTTTTAAACCGATCAAAACATTTTATTGAATAGAAATTTTAGGTATATAAGACGGAAATGTTGAATAATGTTCATAATATCACGTTTGGAAAGGCTTTTAGGTTAGCAAGTGCTTTTAAAGCGTGAACAATACCTTTTTCAATGATCCCATATGGAAAATAAAGTTTGCACCGATTTAGAAAAAATTAATTTTGAAAAATAAGATAAACAAAATGATACGCTTTCAATTACCCTTTCATTATTACCTAGCTTATTTATGCATGCATGCAATCTGGTCTAATACCGAAAACCATAGAACTGAAGAAAGTATTCCAAATTGATGACAAACCAAAAAGCCTCCCTCTACCCATGAACCTATTAGCAAACACTGATGTAGTGCGTTGCACCCAACTGCTTGACTACTTCAGGAAATCAAACACCCCTCCCGAGCAAATGCGCTCACTGGCCCTTGAGACAATCAATGTCAACTATCCTACTGACCAATGGCTCCAAGTCTTCACGGATGGGTCATACATAGAAAACCAAGCAAACGTTGGTGCAGGTGTCTACTCTGAACTCTTCTCTTTCTACGTAGCAGCGGGACACAATAGATCCGCTTTTGAAGGAAAAATAGAGGCCATTAGGATAGCACTAAGCCAATTGTGTTGCCTGGATACGAAATTCACCAAAGCAGTAATACTTTCGGACTCACAGTCAGCAATAAACTCAATTGGAAACAGAGAACCACCCAAAACAGCTGAGGTACACGAATGTAAACAGAGAGCCACCCAAAACAGCTGAATAAAGGTATAGAACCACCCAAAACAGCTGAGGTACACGAATGTAAAAACTGTGCCAGCTGCTGAGAGAGAAAAACAAAACAGTGGTCCTACAATGGATTCCTGGTCACTGTGGCATTAAAGGCAATGAGATTTATCAGCTGCTGAGAGAGAAAAACAAAACAGTGGTCCTACAATGGATTCCTGGTCACTGTGGCATTAAAGGCAATGAGCTTGCTAAGAAGGAGACAACAATTGTGCAAGGCATAGACCGGTCGATGTTTTTCCATACAATGAAGGACTTAATCAGGGGAGAATTCAAGACCTCAAGGTGCAACGAACTTAAAGCTCGAACAAAGGAGAAGCAGTGGACAGTGACACTCTCCGATATAGCCGACTGGCCAAGAATCGAAGCCGTTGATGAGTTTAGACTACGTCCCGGACATGATTGCCTTGCAAAACACCACAGATTGGGAGTATACACTCAGCCCACA